ATTGTGCTCTAAGCAGAAAAACCATGTAGCCTTCACTGTCCATAAAGAGAAGCATAATTACCACAATTGTAGCCTTTGCTTACTGTTTAAACCAATGGTCTCCTATCATCCCATCAGTAAGCATTTTTAGCATAAACCCAATATGTGTATTTATTAAATATAGACAGGGGCGCCCGGGTGGCTCAGTCAGTTGAGCGTCCGACTCTTGGTTTCAGCTGAGGTCATGATCTCATGGATCGTGGGATCGAGCCCCATGTTGGGCCCCGCACTCAGCAGGGAGTCTGCTTGAGATTCTCTGTCTCTGCCCCCTCCCCCCATCCCTGCTCACACTTGCTCTCTTGGTCTCTCTCTCAAATAAATAAATAAGATCTTTAAAAAAAAAGAAGTATAGGCAGGCATTATTATCATTAATATTTCAAAGCATAATAAACACTCAGGAGGACAGTCAACATTAGTAATGATGGAAATAAACCCGTATTTCAAATAGTTGGGAGCATTTTGAACTTTTGAGCCAATTTTTGGTCAGCTCTCATTAGCTTGTCATTGTAGCAGAAACTGCAACCAGTGAAGAGACCCTCCTAGGAAGAGCCATGTTAGTGCTGACATTTTCCTGTTCCTTTATGTGCAAGTGTGGTATCTTCACTCTGCTGTGTCGCTACAAGAACCTTCTTAAAGCATTTGTGCATTTTGTGAGATTTATTTTAAAACCAGATACTGTAATCCATAAATCCGTGTAGCCAGGCAGACAGAAGTTGTAGTATGTTACAATACACCAAAAATGAACGACTGAGGGTACCACTGGCCTCCGCTTTGCATTGGGGTCAAGGTGCCTCGAGTACTGACTTGACACCTGATGTCTGACAGGTGGACAGAGAGGACGATTAGCAATCTGGATATTAAATATTTGTAAAGCTTCTGTGCTGGTTGTTCTGTGTTTGTCCCCAAAGATCCATGTCCAGCTCCGTGCCCCGGAGGACTGACTGGAAAGGGCTGCATCCCCCAGCCTCCATTGCCATTGGATTGCTGTGTGGTTGGGTTTGCCCGATGGGAGGTGCCAGCAGAGACCAGAGAGCAGAGAAAGAGAGAGTTTGGGGTCTTTCTTGCCCTCTCCCTCTTGGCTGGCCACTCATCTCTGACAGGGGCTGTCTCCTTCCTCCACATAAACCCTCCCCATGTCTCCAGCTATCATGGGTCTTCTCTCCAAGCCTGGGAGAAGCAATGCTCATTGTTGCTCACCTCTGGGGCCCTCCACATCCTTTGTGTCCCCTTAACCCAGCCCACACCTCTCCAAGTCGTCCCTTCATTCATGTCCCTTCACTTCAATTCCATAAGGAGATTATTTCCCATCAGAAACCACGAATAATTGCTTTATTTCTTCCTCTTCAAGAAAGCAGTCAATGGCAATTTTCATTTTTTCCTTCCAGAACCTCACTTCAGAGACCACTGGTTTTATGTCAAAGATTTATCTATGTATTTTGGGGGGCGGGGGACGGAGCAGAGAGAATCTCCAGCAGACTCCCTGTCAAGTGCGGAGCCAGACGCAGGGCTCGATCCCAGGACCTTGGGATCACAACCAGAGCCCACACCAAGAGTCAGACGCTCAACCGACTAAGGTACCCAGGCATCCCTGAGACCACCAGTTTAAATAGCTATTCTGAACAGTAAGCCAAATCATTTTCCTGACCAGTGTGAATATAAGCCTTAGATTCCCCATTTCTTCCAGCACTCTTCAGGGAAAAGTTTTTGCTTGAGCCAATAAACACCTGCTGGAAAGGGGAGGGCTCCCAGAATGAGCTCTGGATAGAAGCCACTCAGCAGCCCTGGCCTCTACTCAGGGGTCTATCCCACCAGGCTGAAACTGTGGGAAGCCACTTCAGCTCTCTCAGTTTCCTCATCTATAACATGAAGGTATGTTGGATCAGCTAGTCTCTAGATCCTTTTTAGCTCAAATATCCTTTTGTAATTTTAGGAAGTCATATAGTAGTTCAGAGGAAACTATGTTATTTGGTATTTTTGTTTTCTTTTTTGCTTTTCTTCTTCAACACCATCCCACCCTCCTCTCCAAAACAAGGACATACACTCCTCCATTGGTTAGAATATTTCTCAAGTTAAAATCCTTTAAATTTCATAAACTTCTAAATAGGGGTGCCTGGGTAGCGCAGTTGGTTAAGCGTCTGACTCTTGGTTTCAGCTCAGGTCCTGATCTCAGGGTTGTGAGATTGAGGTCCACATCAGGACTTGACATTCTCTTCCTCTCCCTCTCCTTCTGCCCTTCCCCTGGCTCGTGCTCACTCTCTCTCTCTCTCTCAAAGAAAATAAATAAATCAAATCTTTAAAAACAAATAAATAAAAATAAACTTGTAAGTAATAAGAAAGTGCAGACATAATATCAATAATCAATTGAATCCTGTGCTTTCGAATCAGAGCTGATTCTTCAGCATTTACCATCATACTCTGGCCACACAGTTACTAAACCACAGAGCTACGACTTAAGCTCAAATCTGTCTCACCCTAAACCCAGTGTGCTTTTTTAACACCACAGCCAGCCTCCCTGCGCAGCATCTAATACGGTGCCTTGGGAAAAGTCATCATGAAATACGTATTTCCTGCACCAGATACCCAAAGGTCTCCTGGATGCATTTTCATTAGCCTTGCCATTCAAATGGGCTTGCTATTAGATGAACACTTGCCGACAAATAACTGAAAGAATTCTTGGCTTGTGCGAATAGTCCTGCCACTGGGAGATGGATTGGATTATACACAGAGCACTGCTTTGTTTCCATTCCTTCGTATGTATGAGCACAACCCTCTCATCTCCTCTCCTAGTTAGGACTATCCCCCTTTCCAGGTCTGGCTTCACAACCAGGAAATGCCTTGACATGAATGTGATCTTAACTTGAGACAAAACAAAGGAGGGAAGAAAACCTTGAATTCAGGCAACCCTAAAACCATGAACTTCACAGACTTACAGACGTTAAACCTGACAGAGACCTGAAGAGGTGATCTGGTCCAGCTTCTATCAACTTCTTATAAGCATACAGCCCACCCCCGCCCCCCATTTCACTGAGACAGCTGAGACCTAGGAATGTTCGGTATCTGCCCCCAAAACAATACTCTGTAACTTAGTAATTACTATAATAGGATGTTGAGTGGGGTTTCTCTGGTCCCAGAACTTTGCTTTTGTTTTTTCCTAGTTGATTGATTTTAACTAGTTTCACTAACTTGGGTCACCTCATTTCCCAGCTCTGGGGACATCTGTGTCTTTCAAGTACTTCTAACATGTGCCATATTTCTTAGCTCAAAAAAAAAATTGCCTGTGTATATAATTTGGAAAAACTTCCAATGACTCATTTCCAAAGACATACAATTCACAAAGTCATAGCTTCAGGTATGAGGAGAAAAGAGAATGATACACATTAAATTTTATGGTCTGTTTCATAGAATTGTTTACGAAATAAGCATCTCCTAAGTTATCTCTAGAAGATTTTTTTAAGTTTAGAAACATCCCTAGTTTTGTTTTGGTTTTTGCCCCAGCTTTATCCAGATATAATTGACACATAACACTGTGTAAGTTTAAGGTGTACAACTTGACGATTTGATACACATGTATACTTGAAATGATTACCACAATAAGGCTACTTAACATTTCTACCAACTCACATAATTACCATTTGTGCGTGTGTGTGTGTGTGTGTGTGGTGAGAATATTTAGGATCTCTAAGATTATAAAATAGAGAACCTTTAAGATTCTCTTAGCAACTTTCAAATATAGAATATAGCACTGTTAACTACAGTCACCATGCTGTGCATTAGGTCTCCAAAACTTATTCAGCTTATATCTGGACATTTGTACCCTTTGATTAACAGCACCCCATCTTACCCCATACCTCTGGCAACCAGCATTCTAGTCTCTGTTTCTATGAGTTCAGCTTTTTTAGATTCCACATAGAAGTGAGATCAAACAGTATTTGTCTTTCTCTGCCTGACTTATTTCACTTCGTGTAATGCCCTCAAGTTTCACCCATGTTGTCACCAATGACAGGATCTCCTTTTTCATGTCTGAATAATATTCCACCATATGTCTATATACACCACAGGGGACACACACACACACACACACACCTACACACATTTTCTTTATCCATTCATCTGCTAATGGACATTGAGGTTGCTTCCATGCCTTGGCTACTGTGAACAATGCTACAGTGAGGTCCCAGACTTTGGCTAAAACCCAATGCAGAGGACGAGTAGCACTGAGTATCTTGACATTCGAAGTCCAACAGGTGGAGCCAGCCACCTCACTGCAGGGCTTTTGGAAAGGCCAGAATCAACCCTCCTGAATTAATATAAAGGAAGGAGTAAGAGAGAGGAGTTCAGCCAGGAGGGGAGGGCAGTGTTCATGGAAAGAGCCTATCCCCTCCCTTAAGTCACAGCCAGGACTCCAGGAGAATCATTCATAAAGCCCAGGGGTTCCAGCCATATGGAATACTGGCATTTCATTCCCCCATGGTTGGCTGCTTGGGCAACGAGCTTGCAAATGTTGCCTGGCGCTAAGGAAAAGAGCCCTGGAGAAGACAGGCCTGGGAGACAGAGGGGCAGAGAGGCGGCCTGCGCTGTACCCAGGGGCATGCAAGCGTGTGCGAGGTTTCCTCTGGTGGGCTGGACGCTAAGAAGGTAATGAGGCTTGAGCTCTTTCATGCATCTCATTGCAGTGGGGGCCTCAGGTAAGTAGACCCAGCAGCCACTGATGGGCGTGAGGACTGAAGCAAGGTCATGGGGAAGAGGTTTCACTGGAACCAGATCTCCAAGCAGGGAAGTGTGTGGGGAGAGACTCCCAAAGGGGACTTGGAAGGACTTGCTCCCACAGCCCACAGGAAAGCCAGCTTTAGAACCTGCCCCCAAGGGAACTGACCACAAACCGGTTAGCTAGAGAAGCAGCCACAACCCACGGGGAGAGGATGGATACCTCCTCTTGGACTCAGGAAGAGCCTCTGCCTCCTCCCCGTTCCCGCCCTCCCACTGCCACCCCACCACCACCTAAGCTCCAGGAAGAGGGTTGGCCGCAAGGAAACCAGGCGGCTCCCTGGGCAAGAGCCACCACCTCCCCTTGCCCTGTGGGGGGGGGGGGGGGCAGAGAGGAGAGCTCAGATCTGAGAGACGCTATAAAATTAACCAGGCTGAGGCTCCCATACTGGAATGAGACTGCTAATAACCAGCAGGAGTTGGAAAGCTGCAGGACTTGGCCTGAAGGTCACCAACGGAGCCGTTCCCATGAAGCCTCGGAAGGAGCCATATAATATCGTTGGGAGCCACTACCGAAAAAGAAAAATCTTTTCATGGTGATACTGCGAACTGAGACTTCCCATTCAGCCAGTTCCAACTGACTCAACATTATTTACCTATTGTGCGCCTGGTACTAGGTCTAGTAAGTGAAAAAAGACAACTGGAGTCATATTTCAGGAACCCACATATTTAAGGGGGAGACTCACATATATGAACTGACAGTTTTAATATTCTACAATCAGGTATACATGAGGTTCAGCAGAGACACAATAATACTTATATCAAATAGAGTTTTCTATGTTTCATTTTCCTCACCTATAAGATGGGAATGACAATAGCACCTACCTCCTAGGATGACTGGTTGGATTAAATCAGCTATTTTATGTAGAACAGTGCTTGGCACAGTAAACTGAACACTTGTTAGTGTTTAATACTGCAGTTATTATTGTTATCTTATGTTAAATAGCAAGGCACTGTTCCAAGCAAGCTAAATGCTTGCTTATCTCAACAATTCTATGAAATAGGTACTATTTATTATTCCCATTTTACAGAGGAGAGAACTGAGAGGCACAGGAAGGATAAGCAGCTTGCCCAACTACACACACAGTAGAACTGGGATTCAAACCGAGGTTGTCTAAATCCAGAGCCTGCACTCACAGCTCAGGGGTCTCGAATGCCCAAGTTTGCTGGGTACTTCCGGGAACGCAAAGGCTAAAATGGTTTTTTCCAAAACAGCGACCAATAAAATGTAGTCCTAAAATAACTTGCAACAAAGAGGTCTGGCTCTGCCTGAACTTTCTAAAAAACGTTCACATGAATTCTTCAATCCTATTTCAAATTAGAAAAGGCAAAAATTCATTTGGGGGGTCCGGGGTATGCAGATACAAGCTCCCCAGCTGGTATGACTGGGGCCCCCACCCTGGCATGTTGATCCTTCAAGCCTGCATCTGGCTCTTCTTGCAAGAATCCTGCCCCTCAGCCAGGTGCCTTGTTTGATTTGGATGCCATGCCCTCTAAAGGGGAATTTCAGGTCCTCAAAGTACGGCCTCGGCAAGCAATGCTTGCTCTTGGTGTTTATATAACCATCCCAGCTCCAAAACAAGGGATGCTGGTACTCTGTAATTACAGGCTTTGCAGGCCTGTCACTGAGGAGAGAAAATAAGGATAATAGCTCCATCTGCCTGTGGAATCCAAGCTCTCTCTAAGAGGCCCAAGAAAGCTCCCGGAAAAGGATGCAGGAGGCCAGATCCCCTAGCACCACCATTCAAAACATCCATTTTTATTAAATAAACAGAATTTGGCTGCTTCTAAACTGAGCATGACTGTGGCCTTGCAAATGACATCATCACATCTGGGTAGCATTTTGATAAATTGAGAGCTCCTTTAAGTTCCCAACCACATAAACACCCCCCCCCCCCAACACGTTCTTTAATCAAGAACAGCAAGAGTTCAACTTGGGAAGCATAAAAAAGACACACTCATTAATCCATATCATGTATCAGGATTCCAGATATCAAAATCTTGCTTCTCTTTTACAAACCACTAAACTGTGAGCTGGTGTCCAGTATTCCCATGTGGAGTTGGCGGTCCCAGCTTTTAATTCTACTGCATTTCACCAATTCCAAGATGAACATCCTTTTCATTCTTAATATCTTTGAATTCAAGCTGCATCTTATAACCACTGGCATCTTAGATTCAATGAAGCACAGACTCATGACTGAAACTCATGTACCCCATCAATTCTACTCTTCAATCCCTCCCTGATGGTTCCCCTCCTTCTCCACTGCCTCTCCCAACTAGAGCTGTCAACATTGCTTGCCTGGAAGTCTGCAGAAGGTATTTAACATGCCCACCCCATCTCCAGCTTGAACCCCTCCAACACATCCATCTTACTGCTTCTAGAATGCATATCTAATCATATCTAATTGTTGGATCTGGGGGATAGGTAAATGAAGATTCTTTTCACTATTTTTTTTTTTTTCTATTTTTGGCAGGTATTGTGGTCTCAGGCTGCTATAACAAAATCCCCTGGACTGGGACCTTAAACAATAGAAATGCATTCTTCCATAGTTCTGGTGGCCGGGAAGTCCAAGATCAAGGTCTGGCGGTGTCCGGTTTCTGGTGAGAGCTCTCTTCCGGACTTGCAGAGAGCCTCCTTCTCCTTCTGGCCTCACACAGCAGACACCTAATCTCACATCTGAACTTCCTCCCATCTCCAAACAGTCACCTTGGAGGTTAATAACGGCTTCAACATGAATTTCAGGGGGACGCAATTCAATCTACAGCAGTAGGTTTGAAAATATACATAATAGGGGCACCTTAGTGGCTCAGTCAGTTGAGCATCTGAGTCTTAATCTCAGGGTCATGAGTTCAAGCCCCATGTTGGGCTCCATGCTGGGCATGGAGCCTACTTTAAAAAAAAAAAAGGAAAATATATATAATAAAATATGTAACACACCAGTGAGGATGCCCCAGACTATTTTTTTTTTTTTTAAGATTTTATTTCTTTATTTGAGACAGAGAGAATGAGAGACAGGGAGCATGAGAGGGAGGAGGGTCAGAGGGAGAAGCAGACTCCCTGCCGAGCAGGGAGCCCGATGCGGGACTCGATCCCGGGACTCCAGGATCATGACCTGAGCCGAAGGCAGTCGCTTAACCAACTGAGCCACCCAGGCGCCCGATGCCCCAGACTATTAACAAAGGTTACCTCTCCATTGCGGGGGCCGGGGGGTAGGCTGATTTGGATGGACACAGAAGAGAGCCATGAAAGGGGACTTTCACTCTTCAACTGTTAAATGACTCTGGGTTGTATGCAAGTTTGGCAAGAGTTGCTTTTGTCGTTTTTATAATAATTTTTCCAATCACTTCAAGGCATCTCTTGATACTGGTCTAACACTGAAGCAGACTGAACCACAACATATAACTAAGTCTGTAGTCATTTTGCTCTAAAAAATAGTCTAGATCTCAGGCACCTGTTTTTCACAATACTCTCTGGGGACACATTTTTTTAAAGATTTATTTACTTATTGAGAGGTGGGGGGCAGAGGGAGAGAATATCCGAGCAGACACCCGCTGAGCGTGGAGTCCAACACAGGGCTCGATCCCACAACCCATGAGATCAGCACCTGAGCCAAAACCAAAGTCGGGTGCTTAACTGACTGCGCCACCCAGGCACCTCTGTGGGGGCACATTTTAAAAAGAAAACAGATTCACAGTCCTCAGCCAGGCTTACTGAATGAGAATCTCCAAGGACAGAATCCCCAGATCTCTAAAATCTTAAAACATCCCTGAGAATGCTGATGTCGTCAGTCCAAGGACAGAAGTTTTGGGACCCCTGTTTTAGGGAAAAATACGAAAAAGTTTAGGTCAATTCATTCATGATACTGTGATGTCAGCCTGTTTTGGGGTCTTATATTTACAGTAAATGATAGACTAACTTTAACAGATCATTTGCTTTGAGAACTTGCTGCATCACACTGAGGAGTGAATTAGACATTAGAAACTATAAAAATATGAGGAAAACCCAAAGAAGTTGGGTCAAACGCTCTGCTAGAGAGAACTCACAAAAGAGAAGGCACAGGTAAGTGAGGGAACCACTCCAAACTTCCTGCTTTATCGTAAGTTCCAGATAAGGGGCAAACCGCTCAACCGACACTGGCCTGGATATTTTCCATTTGCTGCTCGAGATCTGCTCTCCACCCTTCTCCATCCTCTTTGTCGCCCGAGAGGATGACCCATGTGAACTGCATCATGGGTCCCCTGCCTGTAGCTCTGGTTCGATGAGGCCAGTGGAAGAAAGAGAGAGTTCTGGGTGGTGAGACAGGGTGAAGGGAGAGCCCTTATGCCCACTGACACCTTCCTGCCAGGCCATGGCGGCTGTCAGTGGACCCTCTCCTGTAGCTTTCTCCCTGGGTCTGGTCACGCCCTCCCTCCCTTCACTCCTTTAGGGCGTAGGGGCTGTAAAGTTTTCCTATTGCTGCTGTAACTACCTACCACCGATCTAGTGGCTTAAAGCAAAACATTTATTATATTATAGTTTTGTAAGTCAGGAGTTTAAAATGGGTTGGCAGGGCTGCGTTCCTTCCAGAGGCCTTGGAGAGAATCCATTTCTTTGCCTTTTCCAGTGTCTAGGGGCTACCCACATTCCTTGGATCTTGGCCCCACACAGCTCCCATCATCCAATGGTCTCTGACCATCCGGCCTCCCTCTTGTAAGGACTGCTTGGTCCCAGCCACCACGGTCTTTGGTCCAGACCACCTCAACAGAATTTTTATCCTGTCTAGTCCATAGCAGCAAATCAGATCACATCACTCATCTATTTAGGACCCTTTGGTGGGTTTCCATTACACTTCAAATAAAACCCAGTTTCTTACGAAGAGCAGATAAGACCCTCCATGGTCTGCCCCTGCCTATCCTTCTGGTCCCACCTCATCCCCCCTTCCTTGTTATGCTCCAGCCATACCCCTCCTCTTTGAGCCCCTCCAACTTGTCAAGCTCTTTCCCACCTCAAAGCCTTTGTCTGTATTGTTCCCCTTGCTAGGCTCTTCTTATCATCAGGTCTTAAATGCCACCTACTCAAGGAAGCCCTCCTTTCCTACCCCAAGCAAAGTAGGATCTGACCTCCCCTTTCCTGTCCCAATCCCATTATTCTATATTTCAGCCCTCTGATTATTTCCTTGGGGGCACTTTATTACAATTTGTAATTATTCCATTACATTCTTTGGGTTTTAAAGTATTTCCTACTAGATTGCAAATTCCACGAGCACAAGGCTTATGTCTAGTCTAATATTGTCTCCCTACGGAGTCTGACAAAGCAGGCCCTTAGTGTAATATTTGTTATATGTGCATACGGCCATTTCTTAGACTCTAGGAGGCTGTGTAATCAGGCCATGACTGTAGACTTTACTGCAGGGTGGGCCAGTTCCCTTCACTTGTTTACCAACCCTCTACCCTGATCCGCTGTCCGATCACTGTACCTCCAGTCCCACTAGAGCACCAATATGTACTACATGCACTGAGTAGAAATCCTCACCACCACTATTCATTTCGACTCACTAGCTACTTAGGAACACTAAGCACTGTGCGTCTTACATGGCAGAGATGAGTAGCATCACCTACTTAATACTGAAGAACAGCACTAGGATACTTATACATGCAAATAACAGCAGGAATTCACTGTGATCCTTGTTATAGGCCAGGAACTGTGATAAGTCTGTTACACGCATCATCCCATTAATCTTCACAACAGCCCCACAATGCTGTGGGTCACCAACAAAGAACACAGGTTCTAGAATCATACTGATTTGGGTTCAAATGCCAGTTCTGCTACTCTTGTGAGGTTCCTTAACATCTCTGTGCTTCCGTTTCTTCACGGGTGAAATGGGGGGACCAGTTGTTACCGAATCTTAGCGTCATCAAGAGGAGTAAATGGGATGGTTCTGTGAGGTGCTTCGCTCGGTGTGTGGCACACAGAAAGCGTTCCATAAATGCCAGATGCTTCTTCTTAACTTGCTCGTCTGCGGGACACTTTATGGCCTGCAGCATCCAACTCTGCATCGAACACAGAGGGAGAACGAATGATCCGGGCTGATCCCCTGCCCTTTGGGAGCACAGAATCAAAGACAGCTGTGAGCACATACTCAGAATCCAGGAGAAGGCAGTGAATGTGTTCCTCCAAGTGGCTGCATTCATTTTATGGTGTAAAGCACAGTAACCCCATGTTCTCATTTCCTCTTTCACCAAAATAGCTATCTCTGCTCCCTGAAGAGGCCCTGGATTATTATAGTCCCTTGAATGCCCTGAAATTCTCAGGAGAGTAGGAATGTTTTTTCAAAGCAGGCACAGCTTGGAGCTAGAAGACAAAAGGTTAAATTCTCTTAAGCTACGACAGTGTAACTCATTTCCTGTTTTTCTCAACTGTCTAGACACAGATCTCATAAGCATTAGCCATGAATCCCACCATCACGTTAAAAATAGAAGGTTTAAATATGAAATGCTGTGGTGGGGGAAAGATTGTAGGTTTCTACCTTCATCCACAAAATGACTACTTTGAAACAGGACTTTTTGTCTTTGGCATCAGCTTTCCCCTAAATCCCGTGACGCTGTATTTCAACGGCAGGAGTAGAGAACACTGCCTTTTCTACAGAATATATCTGCCCCTCAGTAAAGTGAACGCAATTTTCCCTCTAGGTTTGAAAAGCCATTTGAAGACGAACTTACAGCAGCTTCTCTTAACAAGGAATGTGGTCACATGTCAAAGTTTCCAGGTTATTGCAGAGACCAACATTTCGTCCCAAATCAATTTGTGCAACAGAAAAGCCATACAGGTTAGACATGCTTACTTTTTCTTATTATTATTATCTTCCCCTTCCATAAAGTTGTCTGACAAATGTTCTCTTCTGAAAATATATTTTTTCTGGAAAATGCATTTTTTTTTAAACTCCTGTAATAATTCCTGGGCAGTGTTACACAAGTGTGGGGGATCTACCATGACAAGTCTCCCAAATTTATTGGACCACAGAGCCCTTTTATCATAAGCCTTTTAACACCTCCCCAAACAATATTCCATGGAATAGCAGTTTAGGAAACATGCACTGGATACCTCTATGATTCTTTATTTCTGGCTTCAGAATTACATAAGGTTAGACCTCTTCCCTAACAATCTCAGCTATCTGAATTATAACATTGGAAGTAAACTAGTACTATTGACTCTGCAATGTTGTGATGGACCTGTTGTTCTCTTTATTATTGGGAGATAGAAGCCTGTCTTAGAGACACACATGCATTTACTTTAGAAAGACTGTATCCATCGTGGCTTTTAACAATGGAACAGACACATACTGAAATAAATGTAGATGTGTATGTGTTGGTATATGTACAAATATTTCCTTGTTCTGTCCACTAAAAGGACCAAGAAGCAATGAGCACACCCACTACCAAGATCTTGGTTTCAAAACCGATATTCTGATAAAAGGAACTAATGCTTTTCCAAAAAAAAGTTTGATCGCAGGGTTGGGGCAAGGAAAATACAAGATGAGCCGAGGGGAAAAAGGAAAGTGCCAAAAAGTAAGAAGTACTCACGAATGATGGAGCATGTTGAAAGGATACAGGATACAACCTAATTAAGCTCCTAATAGGCAAAGTGGGGACAATTTGAGCAACAAAATAAATAATGATAGTATGAGATTATAACCATAAATTAAAATAAATATGCATAAGCCCCTCCTAATATAAATATATAAATGAGTGAGAAGGAACAACTCTTCCTGACAGAGAAATTACAATTAATAAATGGAGAAGGCGCAGAGGACATAGAAAATCCCCAATGAGCAAACATCACGGTAGTATCTTCCTATCCCCCCACGCCCAACAGCTAATAGTTCCAATCATATTCGTCCACTGAAATTAAGATAAACTAATTCCAAAGTATCCTTGAATGAGGAAATAAGTTACAAAAGCACAAAGGTAGCAGCGAAGAGAGAGGCAGGCAGATGGGAAGAAGGAAAACATTCTGGCTAATTAATGGTTAAGAATATGCATGTACCCTACCCTCAGCTCTGCAATTTTCTTTTTTTTTTTTTTTTTTTTTTAAAGATTTTATTTATTTATTTGAGACAGAGAGAATGAGAGAGACAGAGAGCACATGAGAGGGGGGAGGGTCAGAGGGAGGAGCAGACTCCCTGCAGAGCAGGGAGCCCGATGCGGGACTCGATCCCGGGACTCCAGGATCATGACCTGAGCTGAAGGCAGTCGCCCAACCAACTGAGCCACCCAGGCGCCCCAGCTCTGCAATTTTCTAACAGTGACCTGGGCAACTTATTCTTTCTCTTTCTTCTCAACTGAAAAAAAAAAAAAATGAGTTTTAATTAGTGTAGTGGGATGAAGAGTGTACCCCCCAAATTCACGTCCCCTCACAAGTTCAGAATGTGACCTTTTTGGGAAATAGGGTCTTTGCAGATGCACATAAATTATGATAAGGTCATACTGGCTTAGGGAGGGCCCTAACTCCAATGACTGGTGTCCTAATAAGAAGAGAGGACCCACAGAGAAACAGAGAGAAGGCTGTGTGACAAGAGAGAAAGAGATCTTAGTGATCCCACTGCAAGCCAAGGGACAAACACCAAGGATCACCAGAAACCACCAACTGCTAGGAAGAGGCAAGGAAGGATTTTTCCCTCGCGCCTTCAGAGGAAAGATGGCCCTGCTGACACCTTGATTTCAGACATCAAGCTTCCAGAACTGCGAGAGAATAACTTTCTGTTGTTATAAGCCATCGAGTTTATGATCATTTGTTTTGGAAGCCCTAGGAAACTCACAGAGTAAGCAATACAGAAGGCGCTGTATATAAAGGGGCTAGCAGAGGGCCATTAATCATCTTTGAGCCACATCACAGCTCTGCTTTAGTCAGGAGGAAGGAGGAGGAAGGTCAGGCTTGATTACACTTTGGATATTTTAGCACTAGTTGGCACACTCCCTGCCTTTTCCCTACCCACAACTACTCTGAGTCACTGCCCAGCTACCAGGAACTCTCAAATTCTGGAAAGCAGCCTCCACCGCTATCCATTTCAGGAGTGGGAGTGGGATTAAGACCCCTATCAAACAATAACACTACAGAGCAGTACATACAGATTTGAATTGATCCTTCCATCTCATCAGCTAAAAAATGTTCTCTGGACATGAAGTCACTGTTATGGAATTGTGCTCCCCAAAAAGATAGGTTGAAGCCCTAATCTCTCCAGTACCTCGAATGTGACCTTATGTAGAATTAGGGTCATTGCAGATATGATTAATTAATTTAAGATGGGATCCCAGTGGAGTAGGGTGGGTCCTTAACCCAATGACTGGTGTCCTTATACAAAGAAGAGGCAGAAACCCACAGGGAGAGGACAAGGATGTGACTGTGGAGACAGAGATCAGAGTGATACATCTACAAGCCAAGGAATGTAACCATCAGAAGCTAGAAAATGCAAGAAAGGATTCTCTCCCACCAGTTTCAGAGGGAGCATGGCCTGATGATACCTTGATTTCAGAATTCTCGCTTCCAGAACTGTGAGAATACATTTTTGTTGTTTTTATTTTTAAGATGTATTTATTTATTTTAGAGAGAGAGAAAGAGAGAGTGTGTGAGCGGGGGGCAGGGAGGCTGAGGGAGAGAGAGAGAGAGAAAGAGAGAATCTCAAGCAGACTCCCTCCTGAGCACAGAGCCTGATGCAGGTCTCAACGCAGGGCTTGATCCCAGGACTCTGAGATCATGACCTGAGCTGAAATCAAGAGTCAGTCGCTTAACCAACTGAGGCACCCAGGCGCCCCTGTTGTTTTGAGCCAGTTTGTGGTGCTTTGTTTTGCAGGCCTGGGAAACATATATAATTGCTTTAACAAGGCTACGTTTTGACAGGTGGTGTCCCTGCTCTCCAAAAGTTCACATTATGAAATAAGTGGATACCGTCAGCCTAGGTACCCTTGTAAGTGTCTGTGGTGGTTATTCTTTATTTACACATACCCTTCTCCATTTTCTACCCTTCTCTGCGGCCTGCAGGGCTGATTCCTAAGGACTGCAGTATCCAGGCTCCCTTGTCCTTAGCTTCTGGTTGGGTTTGGCCAATGAGAGACAACAACTGGGAATTTGAGGGTAGAAAATATAAGGTTGGAGACTTCTTGCTCTCTCCCTGCCTCGGTGTTTTGGCAACGTCTTCATCTCTCTACCACTACAGCTCCCGTTGGGCACCGCTACCCATTCTCACCCAACATCTTCAGCTCTCTCTGAGCTCCATGACACATTGTCCTCCTTTTTCTCCTTCAGCCCTTGTGGTGAAAGAGCTTCCCTCTGCCACCAGTCCCTGAGAGCCTCAACATCCCTATTGGTTCTCTCTATCCCTGCCTACTATGGAATGCATGTTTGTATCCCCCGAAAATTCCTATGTTGAAGCTCTAACCCACAATGTGGTGGAATTTGGAGGTAGGGTACTTGGGAGGTAAATAGGTATAGATGAGGTCATGAGGGTGGAGTCCCCATGATGGGATGAGTGCCCTTTAAGAAGAAGAGAGACCAGAGCTATCTTTCTCCATGTGAGGACAAAGAGAGAAGGCAGTCATCTACAAGCCAGGAAGAAAGCCCTCATCAAGAACCAGTTGGCCAACACCTTGATCTTGCATTTTCCAGCCTCCAGAACTGTGAGAAATAAATGTCTATTGTTTAAGCCACCCAGTCTATGGTATTTTTTTTTTTATAGCCTCTCAACCTAAAACACTGTCCCACCTGGGTATATAATCCCTTCATTAAGTTCTCTTCAAAATCCCAGGTAAATATGCCTTAGATTTCCTTCCAAGACCCTGACTAGCACAGTGGCCATGTTACAAAACCAAAGGCATATAAACCTGACCAAGGCTAAACTCTATAAGGGTGACTCAAAATTGCAGTTGTCCCTCCTGGACACTGGATTCTTAACTACAATAATTAATTAGTTTATGAACTGAAAGGGTCCATTCAAGTCCATCCAACCCAATAAACTACCTTTGACAATAACTGAAGAAGTGCCTTAACTCTAGGTTCTAGGAAGACCACAAAATAATACACTAAAAATTATTGAACCCAACATTCTACAAAACACATGCCCAATTCTCCTCACAATTGTCAAGGTCATAAAAAACAAAGAAAGATTAAGAAACTGTCAGAGACCAGAGGAGACTAGAGACATGACAACTGAATGCACTGTGGTATCCTAAATTGAACTGTAGAACAGAAAAAGGACATTCGTGGAGAAAAACTGGTGAAATCCAAAAAAGGACTAGAACTTAGTTAATTGTAATGCACCAATGTTGGTTTCTTGGTTTTGACAAAAGTACCACGATAATATCAGATGTTAACATCAGGATAAATTGAAAGTGGGTAAGGGTTATATGTGAACCCTACAATTTTTCTGTAAACCCAACATATTACAAAAGTAAAAACTTTATTTCAAAAAATGGTTAGCCCTATATTATGGAGTAAGAACTATATGCAGGTCAAGGGACAGTTCATTTAAGCATAAATAATTTGTTTACAACAAGAAATATTACAAACTGGGTTCCTTATATAAATTTGATATGCCTCTCCAAGGATATTAAAAACCCTTCCAACAGAGCTGGGAGAAGTTGTGCTGAGAGAACAGTCAATGCAAAAGATACTCCAGTCACACACGCATACCCACTCCATTAGGAAGAAATAAAACACCCAAACAAGAAACTACAAAACAAAGCATTACCTTAACTCCTACACAATTCCCATTGTTCAGCCCAAAAGAAGGTGCTATTGAATGTCTCAGTGGCTTGCAAAAGCAGTATCTCTTTTTACCCTACTTTCTGTGTTGTTTTTTTTTTAAAGATTTTATTTATTTATTTATCAGAGAGCGAGCGAGAGAGAAACAGCATGAGAGAGGAGAGGGTCAGAGGGAGAAGCAGGCTCCCCGCCGAGGCGGGAGCCCGATGTGGGGTTCGATACCAGGACCCTGGGATCACGACCTGAGCCAAAGGCAGTCGCTTAACCAACTGAGCCACCCAGGCGCCCTACTTTCTGTGTTTCTTGAATGGAGCACTTAGGTTACTGAAATGGCAAAACCTTTGATTTCAACCAAAGTGGAATGCCCCTGAGGAGGCGCTAAGAAACAGCCCTCCGGAGGGCAGCTTCAGATGCAACACGGACTCCTTCAGATATCTAGATATAACCCTCGGTCTTTAAGGCCTCCTTCCTTTCATGAGATGATGTGTCCATCTCATCAGGTATTAGCCCGTAGCAAAGAGCTGTGGACACAGAGGGTCTCTGGGGGTCATGGTAAGAATAAGCTCACATGGGCCCTGCACATCCCTTATGCCTCTCCAAACTCCTAGCAGAGTGAAGGTAGGCATACACATTTTTGTTAATGCTGCTAAAAGAAAATGAGAGTCCACACAGAAACACACAGAGCATGGACTTGTCTCTAATACACATCTGGATTCCCTTGGCCTGGTTAGTGGGACTATGGTAGGCACTCAGTAATCACTTGCATGGTGAATTAATTAGCTTGTCAATCAACAGATGCCCCTAGGTATTGATGACATTTTAAGAAAAGGTGTTACTAGGTCCCCATCCAATAGTCTCAAGGTTTTATTCACATTTTTGTATTTTTACTCTGACCTCTCTACCCCATTCAAAAGTTCATTATATGTCCCCAAATCTACCTTACAAAGAATGTCTATAACTTCATCATTTTTCCATCTATAAAAAATAATAATATTTGATGATCTTTGACAAGGTTGCCAATACCACTTAATGGGAAAAGAAAAGTCTCTTCATAAATGGTGTTGGTGTTGCTGCTGGATGTCTACAAGCAGAGGAATGAAGTTGGACCTTTATCTTATACCATATACAAAAAGTAACTCAAAAAGGAATAAAGACTTAAATATAAGACCTGAACTATAAAACTCCTAGAAGAAAACAAAGGGGAAAACCTTTATGGCATTGGACTTAGCAATGACTTCTTGGATACAACACTAAAAGCATAGGTCACAAAAGCAAAAATAGACAAATGGGACTACATCAAACTTAAAAATGTCTGTGCATCAAAAGGCACAATCAACAGAGTGAAATGCAACCCAGGGAATAGAAAATGTCTGCAAATCATTTATGTGATAAGGAGTTAATATCCAGAATATATAAAGAACTCTAACAATTCAACAATGAAAAAATCAAATAACCTGATTTTAAAATGAACAAAAGTCAGTGCTGAAAGCCTTCAGGGAGCAAAGAAAAAAAAAAGAAAAAGAAAGATAAATAAATAAATAAATAGATAGATAGATAAATAAATAAAATGGACAAAGGACTTGAATAGACATAACTCCAAAGATGATACACCAATGGCAACAAACATATGAAAAGATACTCAACATCACTAATCATCTGGGCAATGTAAGACAAAACCACAATGAGATATCACCTAATATCCATTAAGATGGCCAATATTAAAAAACAAAACAAAACAAAAAAAGCAGAAAATAACAAGTGTTGGTAAGAATGGGAAAAACTGGAACTCTAGTACAGTGTTGGTGGGACTGTAAAATGGCATAACCACTATGGAAAACGGTATGGAGGTTCCCGAAAAGTTAAAAATAGAAATATCATGCAACCCAGAAATCCTACTTCTGCATATATATATACAGAAGAACTAAAATCAGGGTCTCAAAGAGTTATTTGCAAATCCACATTCATAGCAGCACTATTCACAATAGCGAAGAAATCAAAGCAACCCAAATACTCATCAACAGATAAATGGATAATCAAAATGTGGTATATACATACAATGGACTATTATTCGGCCTTAAAAAAGGAAATCCTGTCAAGTGCTACACGATACGGATGAACCTCAAAGACATCATGCTACGTGAAATAAGCCAAGCACAAAAAGACAAATACTACACACTTGCACTTATATGCGGTATCTAAAGTAGTCAAACTCAAAAACAATTCGTAAAATGGTGACCACCAGAGGCCAGGGGTGGGAGGTAAGTATTATTCCTCAATGGGTAAAGCATTTCTGTTCTGCAAGATAAAAAGGTCTGCAGATCTGTTTCAAATCAATGTGAATATACCTAACATCATGGAATCATACACTTAAAACAGGTTAAGATAATAAATTTTGTGTTATATAGAACACATGCATATGTAATTTTTTAATTCATTGATACTTGGCAGGGGAAGAGGCATATTTCCTACCCTACTGCTTTGTTTGGAGGCCATTGCAGAATCTTTGTCTCCCAAGGTCTTTTCTCACCTCATCTCCCGACCTCATGGCCACCTCCTTGTTCCTGGTCCCTTGCTTCATGCGTTACCGCTCATTTATAGCCCTGAACCTGTCTCTTGTGTTCACTGATCCTCTGGGCTTCACCCACCTCTCCCTTTCTTCCTTGCCCACAAATCCTACAGAATTTGTTCTTTTTCTAAGTGCTCTGGGAAAGTCCTTAGAAGCTGCATATTAATAGCCAGTGATTAATTTATAAAGTCGAACCCTTAGCAATATTCTATACTCAAGATATTAATGCCAAGTTTAAAGAAATTGATAAAACATCTAATGCAAAAATTTTCATATCATAAAAGCTTTAAAAATTATTCCAAACATCAAGTAGCATTTAAACCTCATTACATTAACAAACAATCTTATGATACTATCCTGTACCACTGAGTATGTGATAAAACTTTCATACAGTATCTGGTGCAAATACAAATTGGTATGAACCTTGAGAAAAGCAATTTGGCGGGGTACCTGGGTAGCTCAGTCAGTTAAGTGTCTGCCTTCAGCTCAGGTCATGATCTCAGGGTCCTGGGATCGAGCCCCACTTCCAGCTCTCTGCTCATTAGGGAGGCTGCTTCTCCCTCTCCCTCTGCCCCTTGCCGCTGCTCGTGCTCTCTCTCTCTCTCTCTCTCAGATAAATAAATAAAATCTTAAAAAAAAAAAAAAGAAAAGCAATTTGGCAATATGTTTTGAAAACCATAAAAATATCAATGCCCTTTGACCTATTAACCCCATTGCCAGGAATTTGCTCTAAAGAAATTACAGTATAAAAGGAAAAAAAAAAAGGCTTATGTTAGATGTTTATTTCCAAGTTA